ATTGTCTATTTTAGGTTATGTTTCCCAAAAGCTTATGCTTAAGATGCATTAAAAATAACTAGCAAATTTAAATTTATTATAAATGTGTTGCTGTTCATCTTAGAATCTTAAGTTGAGAGAAAATTCAAGAGATCATTTCACTCTTTTTCTGAGCTTCTGCAGGTTTTTACCTTAAAACTTACTGTGAAAAAAATGGTATTAATTTTATTGTGAAAGTTCTGGGAAGTAGATCAGATCAGAGTTTCGGTTTTCAATAGATATACTTTCAGTAGAGCTGTGATTAAAATACATCTTTTGTTCTTAAAAGTTTTATGTTCTTTCAAAACATCAGAAAAGTTTCTGCTGTACAAACACTTTTATCTCTACAATGACTTGTAAATTAGGCACTTTCTTGCTCCTGAAGTCTTACGTAGGTAGTTATAGGATATATTATAGCTTTTATTTAAAGTTACATTTCCCAGAGCTCTGTATGTCTTGGTACAGTTTCATTTCTGGGATCATGTATGATTTTGATATTGCTGTGTTTGCACTGAGGATCCATTTATTGTGACAACACGCAAAATGTTAAGAGAGAATTTTAGTGATGGAGATCTAGGAGCCTGGTTAGGTCTAATTCCCACTATATATAAACAGGCACTTTTGCCTTCTTTTGCCTTCTTCCTCTTCTTTGTAAAAATTCATATCTGACCTATCACTTCCCTGCTTAAAATTCTGTAATGCTTCCCACATATCTGTAGAACCAAGTTCCTGCCCCTTAGATTGGCATGTAACACCCACACAGTGTGCCGCTGTCCCCCTTCTCTGTCTGCTCTACTGGTGTTCTGCATTGCCAGGGGAGGGAATATATTCCAAGAAGAGTCTAATTTTGGAGCCAGGAAGACTTAGGTTAAGACCCTTCCTTCATTCATCACCTCTGGCTCTGTGAACTTGTACAGATTATTTAACATTTCTGAGCCTACCTTTTCTCCTCTGAGGAGTGCAAATTCTTGTCTCACAAAGTTGTAGAAAGCATTAAATGGAAAAGATGTGTGTAGTGCCCACCAGAGGTATTCTTAAGTTTAACTAAACATTCAGACTCAACACCACCAAAGGCCACATTTCCTGCCACCAAGGCAGCATTAGGAATTCCTCTTAGCAGGGGTCCTGCAGCAGTTCAAACAAGTGACAGCTCATATACATGTATGGGGACTATGGACTCCCTGTGTGACATCGTGCCAGGTACAAAGCTCACGATACATATCAGTCAGGTGCAGGCACTACCCTGAGAAGCTTCATGCCCTAAGCAGCTATTATCTTCTGTAGTAATTCTTTGGCATAGTTCCCCACAAAGGACTGCATTCGGGGGTGTCCCAAAAGTGGCATGCCCATCAGATTTTTACAGCTCATTCATATTTCCTCCCAGTCCAGATGCAATTTACCAATTAGGGATCATTTTCACCCTAAGCATTGTTGCCTAGCAATATATTTGATGCCTACCATCTACTTGGTTTCCAGAGTAACAGAACTAGGTGGTTAAACCAAAGGTCAGATCCTCCAGAAGCAAAGGAAAAGATTTGTTAACCGTTTAAGAGCTTTGTAATCTCTTTAAGAGCTTACACTATGAGTCAGTCACTTTGCCCAATACTAGGAATGCAATGGTAATTTAAACAGATATGGTACCATCTTCATATTGTTTCCTCCACTCAGTGATGCCCTTAATTTCTTCCATTGCCTAGAGAACTATTTATCCTTCAGAGATCAGCTCAGATGTTCCCTCTTCTCTGAAGTCCATGTGTACTCTACTTCTCTAGCACTTTGTACATATTGCCCCAAGTTCATGGATTGGTTTTGTGAATCCCTGAATGAATCCACTATAGTAATCCATCAATTTTGTGTGCATGTGGGAACGTACATTTGAAGGAACTATAAAGCTTTCATCAGATTTTCAAAGGAGTCTGAGCTGTCTCCTTCTCCTCTGCCCCACAAGAATTTAGAACCACTACTCTGTTATGAGCATTTATTATATTATGATTTCATTATTTGTTTATAGGTCTATATCTCCTACTAGAGCATAAGTGCCTTGAGAGAAGAGACTATATGTATTAATATTTTTGCCAGCAGAATGCCTGGTTCGTAGTAGACTTTTAGAAAATGTATGTTGAAAGAATAGCTTCTAAATATTTTTAACAGGCTCAGCAGCTTGAATAATGATAGTGGAGCATCATTTCCTAATTTGAAAGGGAACGTTTTCCCTTATATTAAACTAAAATTAGTCTTTCTTGTTCATAGCTCTGTCCTCTGGAGTTCTAAATTAAATGTCTTCCATATTGTAATTGCCCTTTTATGAGACTTATAGTTGATCGGGGAATCAAAGAAAAAGGAAAGTGATTAAAAAATGATACATTTGCATCTTAAATAGTTTAATTTGAGACATGCAAATGTACATTACTAGTACTTTATTACGGAACCAATATCTTTCTGTTGAATATGACTCCACTGTTGTGTAGCTTTTTTCATGTAAGCCATCCACAGTTCATCATCTGCAATTTCCACTTGGGTTTCTTTAAAGTGAAATGAAAAGTTAGACACTGTTGAAGCAATCTGATAGCAGAATTCTTCTAGATTTTTACTTTTTCTCCTCCTCAGTGTCCTATAGTTATATCGCCCACATCCCACCATTTATTTTCTTTACAACTGGCTTTCATCTAATCTGACATCTTTACTTTTCAGAGGAATAGCAACAACACATATTTCTTTGGATTACATACTATTTAATTAAATTATGTAACTAGCATAGCGTGTATAAGTGGCATAAACAGGTCTGCGATCAAACACAATTGACGCTTAGTAAGCTCATGGTTCACCGGACAAGAGTGGAAGTGTGTAGGTATGCAGGGTGCTTTCAGCATCCACAGTGCTCATATGCATTAGAAAGAACTGGAGCGGGTTTCTCCTCTCAGTTTTTCTCAGGATGAATTATTTTGAAATTTTCTCATCCTGCTCTCATTTCTTCTTCCCTTAGACGACTGATCTTCCTAACTTACAGTAGAATGGAAGTAAATCATCTTTGGCTTTTCTCCTGGTAAAGTCTCAGGTATCTATTGTTGTCCAGGAAATAAATGAGGCCATTTAAAAAACAACAACTGGTAGCTAATGTAAAGGACTACTTAATTATAAGGATGTTCTAGATATAAAAAAATCATGGCAGCATGGAGCTTAGTTTCTCTCCCCTGGAGTGTGGCCTGGACTTTATGACTCACTCCCAAGGTAAAGAGTATGCAAAGGGAGAAGTAGGAGCCTTAACTGTGGAGAAACTTAGCAGATACTATCTTAACCAAGTGATCAAAATTAACATCACCAGTGATAGATAAGCTATCCTGATGGGGTGGACCCTCTGATATGTGATGAGAAGGGCACTTTACCTTTGTGGTATGTTTCCTCCAAACCCATAACCCCCGTCTAATCTTGAGAAAATACCATACAAACTCAAATTGAGGGAGAGTCTACAAAATACCTGACCAGTACTCTTCAAAAATCTCAAGGTCCTGAAAAATAAGGGAAGACTGAGGAATTGTCACAGAGAAGGCTAAGGCAACGTAATGACTAAATGCAGTGTGTTATCATGAACTGGATCCTGGAACAGAAAAAGAGGACATTAGTGGAAAAACTAGGGAAATCCAGATAAAGTCTGTAGTTTTGACAAATCTTCCATGGTTACATAAGAAGTTAACATTAGGGAGAGCTAGCTGAAATGTATATGAGAACTATCTGTATTGTTTTCGTACCTTTTCTGTAAATCTAAAATTACTCCAAAGCAAAAAATTTATAAAAATAGCAGTGGGAGAAATAATAAAAGAAAGGCTTAGGTGATTTGAAATTTTAGACATGTAAACCAAGTTAAAAGGCAATAATAAAAAAATACTTGTCACTAATGATAGACAAAGGACTAATCTTAATATAGAATATACTTTTATAAATTAATAAGAATATACTAATACCTCACTGGAAAATAATCATTGATCACAATTCACAGAAGAAACACAGTGATCAATAAATATAAAAGCCAGTTCAATCACACTAGTAATTAAAGAATTGCCAATTAAAGCAGTATTGGAAACATTTTCACCCGTTACATAAAAAAATGATAGTATTCAATTTTGAAGAAGGTAAGTGGAAGAGTTATAGATTGGTATAGCCTTTCTGGAAAGCAGGTATTGGGTTTGAAAATATGCATACCAGCCCTGGCCTGGCGTCTCATTTGGTTGGAGTTTTGTCCCATACACCAAAAGGCTGTGGGTTGATTCCCAGTTAGGGCACATACCTAGGTTGTGGGTTTGATCTCCAGTCGGGGAGCATATGGGAGGCAACCGGTCATTGGTTGTCTCTCATATCAGTATTTATCTCTCTCCCTTCCTCTGTCTCTCTATTCAATAAAAACATATCCTCAGGTGAGGATTAATTATGTATATATATATATACACACCATTTGTGCTTGTAACCTCATATAAGATTATTTTCCTAAGTAAATAATCAGATATGTACATATATTTTCTAATAACAATGTTTATCACAAGGTTGTTGATAATGAGAAGCTCAAAACATAAATATCTAACAATGAGGGAATGATCTAAAAAGTTTTGGCATTCCTATGGAGCAGAATGGAGTCATTAAGAATCATGATTAAATGAACCAATGAAAGCAACATGCAATTTGTTACATCTTCTGATCTCAGACTTTATATACACGAGCACAATTTTGTCTCTTGAAAGGGTGGCAAGGAAATATACTATCATGTAGAAAGTAGTCACTTATCCTTGAGTGGTAAGGAAAGGATGATTTTTGTTTTCTTTAAATCTGTCTTTTCAAAATTGTCTATAATGAGTATGTATGCTTTTGTAATTTAGAGGGGGAAATAAAGTGAGACTAAAGAGGGTTTTTTTCATCTTTCATGCTGATTTCATTAAGAAAATGTCACATCTCTATTTTGTTCTATAAAAAATACTTTTTCCTCTTTCCACTAGGAAACTCCTCAGGGTGCTCCCATTGCCGACCGAGAACTGGGGAGCTCTAGTTGGAGAATGGTGTTGTCATCCGGACCCCTTTGCTAATAAGCCACTTCATCCTCAAGAGAACGACTGTTTCATTGGAGACTCTTTCTTCTTGGTAAATTTAAGAAGTGATACATGGCAACCAGGACCTCAAGTAGCTCCAGTGGAGATGTACTGTCTTTCTTCTGAGAACCGTTTTAAATCGGTAAAATATCTTTTCAAAATAGATGCTGATTTAGAGGCTGGCTTAGAAACTGGTTTCTCCAATCTTTTCTTAATTCAGGGCACGTCATACAGACTGTTCTAAAGACAGAAATCCATTTTCTATTGCCTCTATTCTCTAGCTCTGCTCTGTTGATGTAGGAGGAGTATGTGGCCTTTAAGCAACACAGTCCTCAGGGGCTGAAGGGCGGAGGGGAAGAGGACTTCTTTGTGCACAGAATTGGGAATCTTACCATTTTACAAACCAAAATGCCCCACTTACTCTCTTGTTTTTAGTACGATATTCCATAATCCATGTACATTTTATCCTCATAGCCTGATTGAAATTAAAATTGTTCTCTTGCTCCAGTATAGCTACTGCAGTTAGGCCCATAGTCTGGACTTCTGCTCATGTCATAAGAGCAGATGCCATCAAGGCAAAAGAGGAAAGGGAGGAGCCCAAGCGTGGAAATGAAGCTTGTGCTGCAGGCTCTACTGCTAGTTGACAGCACGAGGTCAGGTGGCTCTTGCTGTCAAAGTTGCTTTAGGGAGAAGGCAGTTTCCTCTCACTACAGAGAACAAGTGGTTTACCTTATTTTAAAAGAAAATCAATGGTATTGACTTGGCCCTTGTAAGAAATCATTCTCCTGATGGCAAGTCAATACAGATGTGATTTAAAAAGTAAAGAAAATCATTGCCCGAGAATTTTCATTTTAACATCTGATTATTTGTAAGAACAAAAGCAATGCATGCTAAATTTCATTTAGAGCTCATTTAATTTCTGTAATGAGAACTGAACCACTTCAGGAAATATGCTGCAGTTGGGCAGCTGTTAGGCTGTAAGTTAGTTTATAGAACTATTTTCTATTTTGAGGGAGATTAAGGAAGTTCATCAAATAACAAGGTTAAGTTGTTATAACTATTTATGTGCGTGTCTCACCATAAACACAAACCCCTTTACCTAAATATGTTTTATTTTAAATTATAGTATGTTAGCTTTCTATAATTTTGAAGCATAAATGGTAAAAAGTTAATATAAACCTATTATAATTATATTTAATATGGTTATATTAAAACTATTTTGTTCTAAATTTATATACTAATACTACATTATTTTATCTTTCATTTTATGACTAAGCTATAAAATTTAAAAACAATATTTGGAGGGCTTGAGTGGAAGAAGAGTGGAGAAAGATTAAGAGAAACCATGACATTCACTCTTTAGATAAATTCTGCACTCTATTGAAATACATTCTTCATATTTATGTCTTTATCAGTTATAGGATGCCATTTACAAGAAGTTCTCTTAATTTCCAACAACTATCCTATTTGTTAAAGGAAGACTCTTCATATTCAGACACTATGGTTTTTAGTATCAAAGAGACTGGGAAATTACTATCATGACAAGCTGCTGTTGTCAAGGTTGTTTTCGTTAGCCTAGGTGGAAGTTTCACTTTAATTGCATATTGCAGCAGTGGAAAGAATATGCCCGTGACCAAAATAGTAACATAAATTTAAAGGGACTGCTTAAACAGTGCTCCCAAGGCTCCTGTGGGAACAAGGCACTCTCTGTGCTATTGAAAACCTATTTCTCATATCACCCAGTCTAGCCATCCAGCAGGGTTTTGAAATGTCACATGTTGACACAGCATCCTAATGGTATCTCTTGGGAAACATTTTTTCGGCTAGACAATATCAAGGGTCCTTAGAAACTGAAACAACACAAAGGAAAATAAAAACGAGGACAGGAGACTAATCGACCTCCGAGCAGCTGTGCCATCTCTCAGATATATTGATTTAATTAGTCACAACAACGACTTTGATGTTTGCTCTGTAGAGTTCCCACACTGTTAGGCTGTTTCATTGCACAACTTGTTTTAGTTTTTCCTTTAAGCATAGGTCAAGAAAAATGTATACAAGGCTGAGTTTCTCTTTAAGCAAAATTAGAAGTGGTATAATATTATAAATTAAAAGACCTGATTTTTAAAAAAAGCACAGACACACATTAGGTCCATCACATTTCTTTCCTTCAGCGCCCCCATAGAGCGTACACTATGTTATTTGTGCCTTTGTTAACGTGACAGTGATATATACCTTTTGAAAGATATCTACTGAAGATGTCCCTGTTTTTGCAATTGTATGTTATCTCTTGTGCTATTTTTTCATGTCTATCAACATAGAAGCTTTGCATCTTTTAATAGGGTGATAAGGATGGCACTTCAACCTTTTATAAGATTCATAAAATTAATCTCAAAAGTATAGCCACATTTACGACTTCTTCCTATTTTTTTAAAGAACAAATGAAATCGAACTTCAGTTATATTATAGCTGGCAAGTATGACAACCAGCTTTACCTTTTTTTATCCCCCCCCAGGGTCTTAGCAATAATTTATTGATTTTGTTAAATCCATAAAGGGACCTTTTTTGTTTTCTTAGAATAATGTGTTGGACTTTGTAAACATTCATGAATGTAAACAGAATAGAATTGTAAACTTCAGTATACCAGTCATCTTGATTCACAAAGTATGCTTTACCTGTCCCTTTTATTATTATTTTTTCTGGTACTTTAAAGCAAATCCCAGACATGCTAACATTTCATCCCTATGTGGGTTTTTCTTTTCTACATAACCACAGTGTCATTTTCACATCGGACAAAATTAACAGTGATTACTTGGTGATACAGTATAGGCTGAATACAAATTTTCCCAATTGTATTAAAATATATTTACTGTCAGTTTGAATAAAAATCAACACATTTGGTTGTTTGAGGTCATTTGTTTTTTACTGATCAGATTTTAAAATCCTAATTACCAATGTCTTTAAAAGGTAGAATCTTATTTTTAAAAACCTACCAAAACCCATTTTTCCTGCTTCATTGAAAGACAAGGCAAAATGTGCTGTAAATAAATGAAATACATAACAGAATACCTGATGAAAAATTTTGGCCTCCAATAGAAAAATCCCTTCTTCTCAAGCACTGCTACTCTAATACCCTATATTAGTTTTTAGTAAAGCCCTTAGTTTTTGTCAAGGCTTAATGAGGATGGTCTGACTTAACTGTACAAAATAGCATCCTTTTTAAAATGTCTTTAAAACCAATTTGAAGCCGTGCAAATAGATTTTACTGTAAGAAAGTATGAAACTGCCAACATGTCAAACTTTATCGTTTGGGATACCCAGTTTCTGAGCTGTCTTCTCCCTGTAACCTTGCCTGAACCCGAAGAAATTGGCCCCTGCCTTGGTTTCTATGTCTGTGGCTTTTGACTTTTTTTGACCTCTAAACTGAGAAATACATTTTTATGTCGAGATTTGATTACAGACACACACACACACACACACACACACACACACCCCTCAAGTAAAAGGTTCTTGAAGCAATACTTACCTTATGTTTGAAACACTGTGATATTTTAATTCAGACTGTAACCCATTGAATTGATTCCATGAATTGATTTGGAAAATACTTGACATAGTGCTTAGAAGCATAAGCTTTAGCATCTAGGGGACGGAGATTCAGATATCAGCACTGTCAGGTACTAGCAGCACATCCATGGACCTCAGCTTCAATGTGCTTTGTATACAGTTGGTCAGGAAATAGTTGTTTATCTCAAGAGAAATATAATTGTACTTCCTTATACTAATCTGTTAAGACTTATTCCTTAGGTAAATACATGTTATCCCACATCAGAAAGTCACTATTTCTTCACTTAGACCAACACTTTATTCTGTAGTTTCCCAAGAGAGATGGCTTCAAGTGTGGCCAGAGTTGCAGAACTGTCCTCTCCCTGCCCACTTTTATAGGACTTCTGCCATGTTGCAGCGTAGCTGGGTGAGAGAAATACTGTATGGCTTTCACAAAGGTATTACTATGGATGTGAAAAGGGCATTCTTTTGTTTTTTTTTAAGATTCTTAATTAATATACAGTGGCTGTCCAGTGAAGGGCAAAAAATTGGTCCATTTGTGGGAAGGTATAGATTTTCTGCCCATTTCTGGAATGATGTGTGCCAAAAGTGTATTTATGTAATATCCACTTTAGTAGTTACCATGTACCAAGGATAGTGCTTTATAACACATAGTCCTTTATAAATCCTAATAAACAACTCTGTGAGTTAAGTACTACTATTAAGTCCATTTCACAGATGAAACCAACACAGGATAGTTAACTTGCCCAAGGTCACGTGTCTAGTAAATAACAGAGTTGGGATTTGAACTGGGGAAGTCTGGCCCCAGGCTCTGGGCTCTTAATCACTTTGCTGTTGCTTTAACATAACCTCTACAACAAACTACAAATTAGGAAGATTTTTTTAATTGAGGTGTAATTGACATATAACATTATATTACTTTCAGGTGTACTACATAATGATTTGATATTTGTACATATTGCAAAATGATCACCACAATAAGCTTAGTTAACACCCATCACCATACAGTTACTACTTTTTTTTCCTTGTGGTGAGAACTTTTAAGATTCATTCTCTTAGTAACTTTCTTATTTTTTTTATAGTTACAATTTTTTTAAATTTTAAATATTTATTTATTTTTTATTTCAGAGAGAGGAAGGGGGGGGAGAGAGATAGAAACATCAGTGATGAGAGTCATTGATTGACTGCCTCCTGCATGCCCCTCACTGGGGATTGAGCCTGAAACCCAGGCATGTGCCTTGACCGGGAATCGAACTGTGACCTCCTGGTTCATAGGTTGACACTCAACCACTGAGCCATGTGGGCTGGGTGCAACTTTCAAATATGCAATACAGTTTTATTAACTGTAGTTGCCATGCTGTATATTCTATCCCCGGGACTTATTTTATTTATTTATAAATACTTATATTTATTTTTACTCATTTACGTTTATTTTGAACCCCTTAACCCATTTTTGCCTAACCCCCTAACCCCACCTCTGGTAACCATCATCTGTTCTCTGTGTCTCAGACAACATTTTTTTGTTTGCTTAATGATTAGGTGAATGATAGCTATTTTAATCTGTATCCTAAATGATTCATATGGATTTTTGAAGTTTAAGAATGTTTTAGGAATATGTGCCAGAGCACTATCCATCTTTTCTGTTATAATGCATATCTTAAATGAAAAAAATCAAATTATATGAATACGTTAGTTGTTTTTAACTTCTGATGGGTGGTTATGAATTATAGCTTACTTTAACATAAGTTACACTGGACTTGGAGTCAAAATAATGAGTTCAGGTTCTGATTCTTCTGTTTTCTAGACACGAGTTGGGGCAAGTCACCTACCCTCTCTACCTTTGTTTCCCACCATCTGCCAATTCTAAATGATTAGGATATTTGGAGGTGCTTTTTAGCAATGTAAGGTGCTTCTTGTTCAGATGATTTGGCAACATTTAGGATTATCAAGAAGTGGCTAGTTTGGGAAAAATCAGTCATACATTATTCTGTCTTTAACCTTGAAAAAAATTACGTCTGTGCATGTAAATTATGCATACAGGCTAAATGTATTCCCAGTATTTAGGAGAGGGCAAAATAAAATGTAAAGTTCAATGTATACCCTAGAGACTATGTTAAAATTATATATTCCTTTTAAGAAAAGCCGAATGACATTTAAATGACATTTTTCTATTCTACAGAAACCAAAGGCAAATACCAAAGTAATTTGTAAGCGTTGCAAGGTAATGTTGGGAGAGACCATGTCATCAGGTAAGAAAAAATCAAAATGATTGCCTTTTTGTTAAAAAACCAATAGAAAGAGTTTTCATAGGAAATATATATGAAAGATAGATGACTAATATATGTTATAGAATTGATACTTTTAAAAATAGAAATCAACTAACATCATTATTCTAAGAATTTGGTGTATTTTGACCTTTATAAGTGCATCGTATTGAGTTTTAAGCATTAAGAAGTTAGGTCATTTTTAATATTTCATATTCTCTTTGTAGATATAAAGCAATTATATAAACTTTATACTTGGGTCAGTCTTACAGAAGATTGGAGCTTTATTCTTAATACAACTCCTCAGAAGAGTTGGTTGCCAGAGGTGATGGAAAAGTTACTTTCCTTGGTTGCCCTCTACCTCGGGGCTGTATTTTGGGGTGAGGGGTGAAAGAGAACCTGTTGAAATGGAAGAAAACACATTCTGAGTTGTGTACTTTGTTCCTTGTTCTTCCCTATAATTATATTTTATATAAAGTCTATGTTGTATTACTTTAAAGATATAGTTTAAAAATACCTAGAAAGCTACAACATGCTGTGTTAGTTTTGTGGGTGATGAATAATTGCTTTTAATATAATTTAATATAATTAGAATTTTATAAGTAGTTACTTCCTCATAGTGAACAGAAAAAGAAGAATGAGCACTACAAAAGGATGCTATCCTTGCTCTTAGTTTTGGAAAGTGAAGGCAAACCCCTTAAGCAACAACTTAGAAAATTTAAGTTAAGTGAATTAATTTTTAAAAATTCCTTTCACTCCTCCCTGAAGTCTAGTCAAAATGTCTGTTAAGGAATAAAAAAGACATACATCTGCAGAGACAAAGAGAAATAGAGAGGAGACGGCAGTGATGTAAACAGGAGGTGTAAGCAAACTTTCTTCAAAGCTGTAAAGCTGAGAGATACACCTTGGAACGAACTTGGCAATGTAGGGGGAGCCACAGCCTAGGTGTCTATAGATCATTTAGGTGAGGAGTGAGCCAATATTCACTGTACAACCCCAGAACTGATCACAGTTTGGGGGCAGCAGGAGCAGAGAATGGAGTCTGAGACAAAGGGCTGGAAGCAGGATGATTAAATCAAAGTTTATATATGGAGCTCTAAGACCCCCGAGTCTCCTCCTCCCCTTACAACTTGCTTATACTTTTAGGCTATGAGATTGGAGAACCCTTTCTTGAAATAATGGAAGAGAACCAACTAGAGAAAAGATTTGCAGACACTGATTCTTAGGAATCATTCAACAAAAATGAGCTTATATTCAACCATCCTACAGTCAACAAGCTTTGTACCTATACACAAAAGCTTCCACTTAGCATTTTATTACCTTACACATAAGTATGAATGGATTGCTGAGAATCAACAAATATTTGAGGGAACCTCCAACATGAAAGAAACCAAAGCAAATAAATAATCAAGTAAGCATAGTAGAGGCACGGAGAAGAAACAAATTATGTATAAAACAAGAAAATCGTAAAATAAAATAAAAAGCATAATAAATGTCCTTGGAGAATGAAAAAATACTGCCTCCATAATTCAGAGAATATGGAATTAAAGATGTAATGGCTTAAAAAATGAATCAAAAGACTGGAAGATAAAATTAAGGAACTAACTTAGAAATCAGAACCAATTGACAGAGACTGAAAATTGGGAGAGGAAATATTTTTTAAAAAATCATCATGTAAGTGTCCTGAGGATAGGGATATTGCCTATCTCGTTTATCACTGTAACCTCAGCACTTAGAACGTTTGGCACATGATTCATATCTGGTAGTATTTGTGGAATGAATGAATGAATTGAGCCTTTTAGGACACCTAACATCTAGATAATAGGAATTCTAGAAAGAGAGAATAGAGACAGTAGGGTGTAGGAAATTATCAAAGAACAAAAATACCAAAAAGATATCACAAGGCTATTTTCCAGAGCTAGGGCTTAAGTTTGTCAATAGAAAGGGCCCACTAAGTGTCAAGTATAATTAATGGAGGGATGGCAGGGAAGCTACTCAAAGCCACATCTTTGAGTACTTTCTGAACACCAAGGAGGAAGTTTCCAGAGAGAAAAAAGCAGGTAGTGGACAAAGGATTGGGAATTAAAATCGCATTGAACTTAACAGCAATACTGAAAACTAAAAGACAATGAAGCAATACCTTCATAATTTAAAAGGAAAAAGATTTTCAAGCCAAAATTTTATATACAGACAAACCATCAATCAAGTATGACAATAACAAATACATTTCTGGATATAACAAGATTTTTAAATGTAGATCACAAAGGTATATTTTCCTTAGAAATCTAGCATAGGATATTTATCACCAAAACTAGGGATTTAACCTCAAAAGGGAGGACATAGGACTTGGGAAACAGATTATCCAACATAGGAGAGCAAGATAAGGAAGTCTCAGGATGAGGGATGTGCAGCAGACCTAGAGAATAATAGCCTGGATTGAATCAAGAGGAGAGAAGATTGCAGTAAAGACGATTTTAGTTATAAGGTGAAACAGATACATTTTTGATTTGTTTGACCACATGAAACAAATAATCTTGAGACAAATCACTTCCTCATATGGGAAGAACTAGCTAAAGGTGCTCAGAAAATGAAACACATGAAAAAGAAAGCAGTAATGCACTGCAGGAAAACAGAAGATTGAACAAGAAAGGGAACATTGCCATGGGATCATTACGGTCACAATAATGTAAACACTGAATGTTGATTTAACCAAAAATCTTTACGATGTAATATATAAGTATATTAGGAGGTCAATATATGTTGAGTGTGTGTGAGGTGATGTAAAAGAGCTATATTCACACCTACTCTAAAAGAAAATTAGTAGGGCTCCACTTCCAAAACGGTGCTATAAAGAAAAGTTCCATTCTGCAGAAAACAAGTACAAGACTGTACAAGTTCAAAAAATCGTTAAGAACAACCACTGGAAGACCAAAATGAAGCAATGATTTGAGAAGTGTTTGGTTATGAGAAACTGCTACTGCTTTTGCTTAGAATGGCAAATTTGTGCCCTTGGCTCTTGAGGGCATTGCCATTCTCACCACCCCAACTTGGGCAGGAAAAACTCAGCTTTATTGTTTACAGGCAATAATTTTGGGTCAGCGTACACTAAGAAGAAACTAGAAATTAAAGAGGAAAAATTTGGAAGCAACAGGCCATACTTCTAGATGTAAACTTCTTCACACAACTCTGGCTGACTGTTAAACTATACATGCACACAATAGATGCCAGATAGTCCAATAAGAATTGTAAGCTTGGGTAGACCTTCAAATTTGCTGTACTTTGGATTTCATTCTTCAGTCCACACACAACTTGAGCAGCAGAAGGTGGAAGTCTTACTGGCATGAAGTATTTGAGCAGAACTTCCCAAATTTGCTGACAGCTAAAACTATGTAAGTATAATAACTACTCTCTAATGAACCAGGCTAAACAGAATAAAACTGAGGAGAGCCATTAGTGGTTACACACTGTGGAAAGACATATTTCACAGTTTGAATCCAGGGTAGTTAATTAACTACTATATCTATAAAGCAACAACCTTTAAGAGAACAACAGACAATCCAGAATTGCTACAGTGTATTACATATGATGTCTTACTTCCATCTGGAAATTGTAGACATGCAAAAAGATAGAACAGAGTCATTCATACTCAAAGAATAAACAGAACTCAATAAACAAGTGCTGAATAAGCATAAATATTAGATTTAGCAGACAGATATTGAGCAGCTATTATAAATATGGCAAATAATTTTAAAAATGCCTCTTGAGTGAACTAATGGAAAATCTCAACAAATTGGAAACTTAAAAGAAAGAACCAGTTGCTAACTGCAGAGCTGGAAAATACAGTAACTGTAAAGAATTCACTAGATTAGTAAACCACATATTTGAGATGACAGAAGAAAAAAATAATTGAAGTAGATTAATAGAAATTAACCAACCCAAAGAACAGAAAGAAAAATGTCTAAAGCGAAACGAATAGAACCTCAGAGAATTGTGGGACAATATTAAGTTTTTCAATAAATGTATAATTGTAGTCTCAGAAGGTAAGGAGAAAAACAAAGGTCATGAAAAAAATTTGCAGAAAAAATGGCTGAAATCTTGGCAAATTTGGTGAAAAGTATTAACTTTCAGATCCAAGTATTGCAATGAATCTCAAGTAGGATAAACAAGAAAGCACGCTTCACCCAGGCACATTATACTCAAACTGATAAAAGCTAAAGATGAAAAGAGAATATTCAAAGTAGCAAGAGCAAAACAAAATATCACACATGGGAATTTCATGATATAGTCGAGGCTCACATAGAAATAATGATAGCCAGAAAACACTAAAATGAGATACTCAAAATACGTGGGACATGGGGGGCAGAGAATACCTGTCAACTAACAATTCAGTATCCAGCAAAACTATCCTTCAAAAATGAAGGCAAAATGAGGACATTTTCATAGAAATGGATGGAAATAATGCATTACTAGCAGACCTTCTTATAAAAATGCTCAGGAAAGTTCTTCAGCCTAAAGTGCAAGATACTGGATGGTAATTGAAATCCACAGGAAGGAATGAGGAGCAAGATAAATGGAAAATATGTGGGTAAATTACCACAGAAGCAAACTAAAAAGCGTTTAGCATAAAATTGAATCCACCTTTCCCTGCAATTTGTCAGTTCTGTAAAATTAGAGCTTTTATTTTGATTGCTTTGGGAAGTAAGGACAGAAATGAAAGACTACACAAGAAGGGAATTTAGTAAGTGACTACACAAAAATATAAGACCCTGAAGGGTCATACCTTCACAATAAAGGTGAATCAAAAGTGGACCAGCCTTGCAGAATTATAGACAAGTATCGGTCCTTTGGGACTTTAGGGTATTTCAGATCTTGAACTTCATTAATCTGCCTTGTACTAGACATAATACTATGTGCTTGGCAAAATCAAATGCAGTTCACTTCTGGGGGAAGGTGTCTTCATTGTAGAACTCATTATTCTCACAAATAATCTGTCAAGTGCAGTGTTCATCATATAACCAAACATAAATAAGCAAACAAGTAAACTAGACTTACATCAATACGAACTAGCAAAAACAGCAAACAACAGAAACAGACTTCTGTTATTGGAATGATCAGATGTAAGCTGTAAAACAACCATACTTACTATATTTAACAGTATAAAAGGCAGGTTTGAATATATCGAAAGGAAAAGGAAACTAACATTTGGAAAAGATTCACAATAGAATTTTAAAAGAATACATTATAATTGAAATGTAAAATTCAGTGGGTGCTTTAATGGCAGAGTAGGTACAATTTGGAGAAAGCATTAATGAACAGAAGATAGATAAGCAAAAAAATCTGTAATCTAGCACAGAGAGACAAGAAGGCAAAAAATATGAAAAAGAGATTAAGAGACAAAGAACATACAGTGAGAAGATCTAACATATTTTTAACCAAGCTTCTAGAAGGGAAAGAGAAGTAGAATGGAGCATAGACAATATATGAAGAAATAATTGAGAATTTTACAGAAGTGGTGAGAACAAAAATCTGTAGTTTCAAGAGGTCTAGTAATTCTAATTAAATGAGACCCAAGGAAGATAAATTAAAACAAATCTGTAGCCAGTCAGTGTGGCTCAGCGTACTAAGCATTGACCTATGATCCAGGAAATCACGGTTTGATTCCCAGTCAGGGCACATGAGAGTTGTGTGCAACACAACTGCAGTGGAATAATGAGAAACACATAGTGAAATAATTTAAAAGACACTGTATGTGGCCCAGCCAGGGTGGCTCAGTGGTTGAGCATCTACCTATGAACCAGGAAATCACAGTTTGATTCCTAGTCAGGGCACATGCCGGGGTTGCAGGCTCAGTCCCCAGCAGGTGGTGTGTAGGAGGCAGCCGATCAATGACTCTCTCATCATTGATGTTTCTCTCTCTCCCTGTCCCTCTCACTTAAATCAATAAAGATATATTTTTAAAAAACAAAAAACCAAATCTGTAGCTAGACACAGAGTGATACTGCAGAAAAATAAAAGGCAAAGAGAAAATCTTAAGCAACCAAAGAGAAATGACAAATCACCTTCAAAGGAACAGCAATAATGGAAGTTCGAAGATAATGGAATGGTAGTGTCGGTGTGTACAAAGGTAAAAAACTGTTAACCTAGGATTTTCTATTAGGCAAAAATGCCCTGATATGAAAATAAGACAAAGATAAATATATTTTCTGACAAACAAAAATGAGATAATTCACCTCTAGTGGTTTGGTTTCTTACTAAAAGAAATTCGACCTGTATATCAGTATCAGGTAGAAGAAAATGATCCCAGATAGAAGGTCTGACTTCAAGAAGGATTGGTTAAGAAAATGATAAATATGTGGGTGACACTAAATTAATATTAACTGTACAAAACGATAATAATAATACCTTGTGGGCCCAGCTGGTGTGGCTCAGTGGGTTGAGCACTGACACATGAACCAGGAGGTCACGGTTAGATTCCCAGTCAGGGCACATGGCTGGGTTTTGGGCTCCATCCTCTGTAGGGGGTGTGCAGGAGGCAGCTGATCAATGATTCTCTCTCATCATTGATGTTTCTATATCTCCCTCTCCCTCTCCCTCTCCCCCCCTTCTCTCTCTGAAATCAATAAAAACATACTTAAAAAATAATACCTATGGGATTAAAATTATANATCTCCCTCTCCCTCTCCCTCTCCCTCTCCCCCCTTCTCTCTCTGAAATCAATAAAAACATACTTAAAAAATAATACCTATGGGATTAAAATTATAGAGTTAAATTATTTTTACAACAGCCGTGATAAAAGGGACCACTTCATAATGTTAAAAGGTTCATCTAAAAGACTCCTACTAGAGTACTACTAGATTTGATAAACGAATTTGGCAAGGTAGCTGGATACAAAATCAACATCCGGAAATCAATGGCATTCTCATACACCAACAATGAACTTTCAGAGAGAGAAACTAAAAAAAAAAAAAAAAAATACCATTTATCATTGCAACTAAAATAATAAGATACCTAGGAATAAACTTAACCAAGGATGTACTCCGACCTGTACTCAGAAAACTACATGACACTGAAAAAAGAAATAGAGGAAGATTTAAACAAGTGGAAGAATATACCATGCTCATGGATTGGAAGAATTAATATCATTAAAATGTCCATACTACCCAAAGCAATTTATAAATTCAATGCAATTCCTATTAAAATACCAACAGCATATTTCACAGACCTAGAACAAACATTTCGAAAATTTATATGGAACCAAAAAAGACCCCGAATAGCTGCAGCCATCTTGAGAAAAAAGAACAGAGTGGGAGGGATCACATTACCAGACTTCAAACTGTATTACAAAGCCACTGTAATCAAAACGGCCTGGTATTGGTACAACAACAGGCATATAGATCAATGGAACAGAACAGAGACCCCAGAAATAGACCCACGCCATTATGGTCAGTTAATATTTGACAAAGGAGGCAAGAGCATACAATGGAGTAAAGACAGTCTCTTCAATAAGTGGTGCTGGGAAAATTGGACAGATACATGCAAAAGAATGAAACTAGACCACCAACTTTCACCATACACAAAAATAAACTCAAAATGGATAAAAGACTTAAATGTAAGTCACGAAACCATAAAAATCCTGGAAGAAAACATAGGCAGTAAAGTCACAGACATCCCACGTAGTGGACTTTTCACTGATACATCTCCTAGGGCAAGAGAAACAAAGGAAAAAATAAACATATGGGACTACATCAAACTAAAAAGCTTCTGCACAGCAAAAGAAAACAGCCTCAAAATACAAAGGAACCCCACGGTCTGGGAAAACATATTTGCCAAGGATGTATCTGATAAGGGGCTAATTTCCAAAGTGTACAAAGAACTCATAGTACTCAGCAAGAGGAAGACAAACAACCCAATTAAGAAATGGGCAAAGGACCTGAATAGACACTTCTCCAAAGAGGACATACGGATGGCCAAGAGACACATGAGAAAATGCTCAACGTCGCTAATCATCAGAGAGATGCAAATTAAAACCACAGTGAGGAATCACCCCACACCTGCCAGAATGGCGCCATCAACAAATCAACAAACAACATGTGCTGGCGAGGGTGTGGAGAAAGGGGAACCCTAGTACACTGCTGGTGGGAATGCAGACTGGTGCAGCCACTATGGAAAACAGTATGGAGGTTCCTCAAAAAATTAAAAATGGAGCTGCCTTTTGACCCAGTGATTCCACTCCTAGGAATGTATCCTAAGAATCCTGAAACATTCATCAGAAAGAATATATGTACCCCGATGTTCATAGCAGCACAGTTTACAATAGCTAAGATCTGGAAACAGCCCAAGTGCCCATCAGTAGATGAGTGGATAAAAAAGCTGTGGGACATTTACACCATGGAATACTACGCAGCTGTAAAGAAGAAGAATCTCGTACCCTTTGGGACAGTATGGATGGACCTGGAGAATATTATGCTAAGTGAAATAAGCCAGGCAGAGAAAGACAAACATCACATGATCTCGCTTATACGTGGAATCTAAAGAACTTAATAAACTGATGAACAGAATAGATTCAATGACATGGAAGCATAGATGAGACTGACGAATGTCAGAGGGATGGAGGAGGGTGGGTGGGTGGAGGGGGAGAGAGTAACCAAAGAATTTATATGCATATATGCACAACCGAAGGACACGGACAATGGTCGGGAGAAGGCCTGGGGAGGGGGATGGGATGGGGTGGAACGGGTCATTGGGGAGAAAAAGGGACATCTGTAATATTTTAAACAAAAATTAAATTAAAAATNNNGGGGTGGAACGGGTCATTGGGGAGAAAAAGGGACATCTGTGATATTTTAAACAAAAACAAAATTTAAAAATTAAAAAAAAAAAAGGTTCATCTAATAACATGACTTCAAAATAGTTAAGTGAAAATTGAACTTCAAAGAGAAATAGATAAATTTATCATCATGGCTCAAGATATATAATAATCTATTAAACAGTATTGATTTTTTTTTTGCCCTTTTCTGTGTTATATTGGGCAATTAAAAACATTTTCAGAAAATCTATTAGGAACAACTTCCATCTCATTAAAACAAAAATTATTAGGTACACTATTTTTCATGACTGCATAGAATTCTTGTCCCTAAATGTGTATTTATTTAATCCAACCATCCTTAATTTTTAGATATTTAATATTTCAATATTTTTCTATCAATATTATTATTATCTTTTTAATAATCTTCTACATGTATGAGCAGAGTTGCTGTATCAGATACAATTGGGACCTGCTCTTCTGAAGTGACACCAAGCTGTCTCAAGTTTCAGGGCTGTCTCCTTGTAGTCATCAAGGCTTTGTCTTCTTTAACACAGTCACTTTTTAAAAAGTTTTACTCAATGCTAATTTTACCAATAGATCAACTATTTAGTTTGAATGTCATAATTTGGGACTAACATGCCCACAGTAAAAATATTAGTGTATAGAGGAGATTTTTAATTTTCTATTTTTTGTTTCTAGAAACCGTTAAGTTTTATATGACGGAGATGATTATTCAGCCATCTGAGAGAAATTTTCCCATCATTCCAAGGTACAATAGCAAATTATATCTATTCTCTCATTTCAAATGTAGGAAAAGATAGGTACAATTGATTATTTGGGAATTCATTTTTACTTATACCTCTCTTTATTTGGAAAGGTTAGGTGGACCAAACCAGACATTTAAAGACTTGAGGATTTATTCATGGTTTGCTTACATAATGTTATAGCCAAATATACGCATATAAATCTAAATCAGAAAGGTTTTTGTGCTTCTTCCTATGTGGCAGATATCTAAGATCTTAAAACATAATCAATAGGTTTTTGAATAATTATTTCTGGTTTTAATTTGACTTAAAATTTGAAACGGGTCAGTTTTCAAATAACTCCTTTGTTTCGTTTTTAAGTGGTCATTAGCCACTAAATCCATTAGTGCTGCTTTTCTTTGAATCATTTTAGTTTGCAAACAAAAGTTAACTCTAGTAGTTCTTTATTTTAGCTCATTATTGATGTCTAAAAATTACGGCAATCTAAATATAACCTTGAACTTTATTCTTCTATAAATAGTTTGATTAGGTACCTAAGATCTGATACTTTGAGGGGATCCAAGTTGGAATATTGTAGATAACACTGTCTAATGTTTGGGAGGAAATGTCTCACCTTTTTAAAGTTACTCACTGTTTAATGTGCTACAGCACAAGTGGAACAATGACTTGTCTGACATACTATTTTTTATTAAGTTAGGTTTGGGGTGGAAAATGTATTAAGGATTTGAGAATAGGATATAAGAAGACTAGAGCAACACAAATACATTAAAATATATTAAAATCCACATTAGCACAGATCGCAGGGGAAGGGGTAGCAAATAGAAAAGCCTGGCATGCACATGCCTCTGCCTTTTGGGTACCCTGTGGATATTTTTGGCTTATCCTGCCAGTTAGAGTTATTAGGAGAGGCACATTGTAAAAACTGATTTCTCTTCAAACAGGTCTCAGTTTGTACAGAGCATTATCGCCCAGTGTCTGGTGGAACTTTCCTCTGCTAGAAGCACTTTTAGATTCAGCATTCAAGGTCATGATGGCAAAGCGTGCATCTTGGTAAGAAATTATCTCACTCAGCTTTTTATAGCCCTACTAATCCAGGGTCTCAGAAATTCTTTAGTTTTTGTCATTCTTTTTTCTTAATTCTCAGGTCTAGAAAACAATTGATTAAAAAAGTAAAATTTTAATGTCAGTTTAATTCACAAATCAAACTCCCTTGGTTTAATAACAAACTATCAAGTGCCTCTTTCTGCTAGGAACTAGGTAGGGATAGAGAGAGAAACACAGCCCGATTCCTGCTCTGTAGGAGGTCATATCACAAAATAAAGTTTTTCACTCAATTTTTAATGGCTTTTCTTGGTCAGAATAACATAGTTCTATCACTTTTTTTTTCCCTATTTGATACTCTTACGTATTTTTTGTTTGTTTTGTAGTAAGAACACTTAACATGAGACCTACTTCACAGATTTTTAAGTGCACAATATATACTATTGTTAATTATACTTTGATGTTTGAGAAGTCGTGCCAAGTTTTGGAAAAGAGTCTCTTGCAGTTAGTAGAATCATCCCTGTACATGTATCACAAGCATCTAATAGCATACCGCTTCTGTTAGAAAATAACGTTCTGCAGAAAAGAATTTGGGACGTTTGTGTGAAAATCCAAGACTCAAGGCCCAAGCCTCTTCTCTGCCTCTCATCTGTTTTATTCCATTAGTAAACATATATTGTGCACTTTTTAATTGAAACATACTGTTCCAGATGTTCAAGTTAAAACAAAAATGCCTTCAAGGAACTTAAAAGGTAATAGGGAAACTAGATAGCTAAAAGGAGGGAAAGGGTTGAGATTGGTGTGGCTTTATAGCTGGCCTTCCATTATGGCAACCCCATGCTCCTGTAATTCCAGGTAATTTCTATCAAAAGCCAAATAAAGTATTATCTGATTGAAGTTGATCCTAAGTACACCTCATAGTCATAGTCTGAAATCAGTGTTAACTTTCTTTTTTTGCAAGGTTTTCAACAGGAATGGGAACTTTTAAACCTACTACTAATGTATATTTAATTTTTTTTAAGAATTATTTTTTATAAAGTAATACATTCTTGAAACACATTCAGACAACATGAAGAACATAGAAGTGGCAGTTCCCCCATCTTGTCCCCTGTCTTGTCCTTCTATCTTATACTATTTGAAGGTAAACATTATTAACAATCCGATATGTATACCTTAGCATTTTTCCCTACCCATATACAACTATATGTACATATACCCACAGGTATTTGTCAGTTTGTAAAAAATAAGCAGAGTCGTGATTAGCATTTCACTTGAACATGCTTACTTCACTCAACAGTATACCATGAGGATTGTTTCTAGTTAGTGTAAGTGTAGATCAGACTTCAACGCGTAGACTTCCATTGTATGGCTGCTAAAGACAGTGTTGCAGTGAAAATAATCTTTGCACAAGTATTGTAGTCCTTTAGACATGGATCTTTCTAATCTAATACAGTATTAGAATTTGAGTTTTTAAAATTCTGATAATTATTATCCTCCAAACAATTTGTACTAATTTATCCCTTATAGTGGACATTCATGGTGCCCCACCCAGATCCCCTTTCCTTGGCCAGTGCACCCCTTTCCCAGCTGCTGAGAGTATTGGCTGCTAATGGCTCACAGCTGCTCTCTTCTCCAGAGACTTGTCCTCCTAACCTAACAGATGCTGCCTTGGCCAGGGAGTTTCCTGTCCTCTACGCCCCGGCCCC